CGTATGTGTATTTGTGTGTGTCTGTGTTAATATGTGTATTTCAGCTGCTGCAGCCTCATGTCTTGCTGTCAGTAGCAGCTCTTTATACCCTGGGCATGCAGATGCACACAGCACACACACACCATAAATATACACACACACTATATGGCTGCAGTGGAGCACAGCTAATTCTGCTCCGAGCTATCATGTCACATTCAAGCCTACTGAGAACTGGGTCAGAAGGCTCAGGCAACTCTGTGTGTGTGTGTGTGTGTGTGTGTGTGCGTGTGTGCGTGTGTGAGAGAGAGAGTATTTGATGAAAGAAAGACAAAAGGTTAAACGCTAAGAGTCAAAATGAAGATGCCCGACTCTGAACCTTGTCCGGAGGCTCCAGAACATGTCATGTCTTCATTTAATGATCAGCACTTTCTTTCAAATTGCTGATGACAATAGTCAGTGCTGATTGCATGTTTCCTGACTGTTGCCAGCTTCTGATGGATGATGTTTGTTTGATCAGATGTTTGAAAATGATCAAACATGTGATCAAATGAACAGTAACACCTCTCTGGTAAGTATGCAACTTATGACGGGTCTAAGAAGTACAGAAGCGCATTGCATTCACAAAAGAAAGAAAATAATAATTTTTGATAAAACTGACTTGCATGCTCTGTACTGTGTCATACAGTTATCCTACTTAAAATCTGTTTTAGCTTCTCTTACACCTTCACAGATATAGTACCTGATACTCTGGTAGATTGTATTTGCATCTGTACTACAAAGAGTACTCAGATTTTTTGACCGATGTTCTAGCGTCTTTTTAGAAGAAAAGGTAATTCAAAAAATAACTAAATAATTTTTAAGCACCTTTTTTTTTTACTGCTTTTCAAAACTACTCATCTGTTTGTGTAGGTGTGGTTTGAATACACAGCTAAACATTTTACTAAACCAGTTTTACCTTCGGTGTTGAATGTTCCTGTCTCATTGTCTTTTGCATGACCCGGAACTCGTACTCGGCTCGGTTGTGGTCCTGAAAGAGAAATTAGTTGAGCTGTTACAGTTCCTGATACTACTGCATATTAAGTGTAGAGGATAATAAACAGTAGAGAAGATCCCTATGAAGTTTCAGAATGCAGGCAGAAATTAAATGAACAGCTTGTTTGCATGAAGTTTTGCAAAATGGAGAATTTTAAATTGAAGTACAGCACTCTGTGTAAGAGAAGAGAGAAATGCATTAACCCACAATGGAAGGATTAATGAAAACTAAAAGCAAACTATAGTTTGATGTTGGAATTGCGCAGCAACTTCTAACTAATGTAAACTCAAACTACTGTATACAGTTTGAATTTGTTGCTGCATTTTAGTGTGCTTATATTTAAGTGTTTGTAACTTCAAGCTTAACAATAACTTCAAAACAACAGCCCAACATTTTGAAAACATGCTTGTTGCTGAATCAGATAACTAGATCAATGTAAGTGATATCTGTGTGTCCACATTGTTCCAGTGTTTAGCCTATCTCATAGGGAGCAAGTATTCGGCTTAGAGGTCAAAATTAACGACTTCCATTTTTGAGCACCACCCGTGTCAGTTTTAAGCTGTCCCATTCTGACTGATCATATAAAAGATGGACATCATTCAATTGAATTCAATTCAGTTTTATTTGTTTTATTTATAGCGCCAAATAAATAAAACAAAGGTTTGGTCAAATTAGCTGGATCATGCTACACAATTCTGAATGTATGTAAGGTATATTAGTTGCGTCTGTTATAAAACACTGTGGCTAATATGTTTGCCCAGGTTTTTAGATAATCAGGCAGCAAAGCTAACAGCTACCTTCTACCCCCAGGCTTTATGCTATTACAGGCTTCCCAAACCTATCCCTGATGTGAGTCTGTAATGGGCACACAGACTAGATAGATAGATATCCATCTGGGTAAGACAGCAACAGTGCATGTTACACAAAATGTCAAACTGTTCTGCAAATCTGTGTTTACCTTCCTGAATCCAGACATTTGATACACAGAGCTGCATGATGTGGCATGTCTAATTTGTGCTGTTGTCAAATAATACTTTCATGGTTGAATCTAAGATCAACATTAATATGCAGTCTGTGTGTATGTGTACCCATAATAAATAACAGTAATACAGTAGGCCAAGACGAATGAAGAGGTATGTATACAGAGGAAACTGCATGAAAACAAGGCAGAGGGTTAGACAGTCTCTTTTGGCCTGAAGGTTCATGTGCCCAGCTAATGTACACGTGGTCAGACAGACAGAAAGAGCCAAATAGATAAAAACTGTCTACTGTAGCAACAATCTTAACATAGAGAGACTCACTTTCATTTGAAGTGGACGAAATTAAGCAGTGGACTTTGGGTTTTGAGCCTTTTAACCACAGATTGATTCAAAACTTGCTCTTACATTTAATTTCATATTAAATTTTTTTCCTCATGACATCATCATCATTACTACTACTCGACTTAAACCTAAATTAACATATTGTTTTGGTCACTTTGCAGCACTGTAATAACAACTGACATATTATGAGTTTATAATGTTAACATGGTAAACAAGTTAGAAAACAACTAAAAATGTGGCTGTATTTCAATCTAAAGGATTTCTACACTGTGCAGGATATCCAACACATTTTTTAAAAAGTGTAAAGGGGGAGGTTTCTGGCAACACACAGGATCCGTTGAAAGGTGGTCCAGTATGCAACCTGTATAGTGTGATGTAGAAACTTGAAGGCACCAGTGGACATCCACTGAGAATGGACTTTACAGTGAAGTACGAGACATCTTGTGTCCAGCAGGAAAACTTTAGAAATTAACTTTTGCATATTCAGAGATTCTAGAATGTTAAATGAGGTAGGAGGGGGAGATGACTTTTTAAGGATTGTAATGAGGAAATTATACTTTTTTGTGGAAAAAACATATCAGTATGCTCTGCTATGCTTCCTGTTGTGTTTATTGTCCATTGTTTTGATGGCTTGTTGTAAAGCACTAAAGGGCTATACAAATAAACTTGATTTGATTTGATTTGATCAGCACACATTGCTCAAAGCAAATTATTTTTATGTCTTAATATTAATATTTGAATTAAGAGTGGTCCAGTGTTGTTCCTTTAACAATTGTTACTTAGCCAGCACCGCTTCTTCTATTTTATTTTAAAGGCGTATCACTTCACTTTGTGTGTGCTGCTTGTCTTGTGCTTATGTTGAGCACGGTTGTCTCAGGGACAAATCTAAAAAAGATATGGAAAGGCAAAGAGAGAGAGAGAAGAGAGCTATGAGTCAACTAACTGCCCCGTTAACTCCACACTAACGACCACAGAGATGGCCAGTATTGATGAACCTCAGAGAGAAAGAGCACAGCTACAGAAAAAAAACATTACACAGGAGCAAAGAGATGAAGATATCAAGTGAAAGACCTGAGGCAGATTGTTAGACACCTTGAGGGAGAAAAGGTTTTTGTTAACAGCTGCAGAATGGATCTAAAGCAGTGCGTCAAAAAGAAAGTTTAAAAATGAGAGACAGCAAGAAATAAATCAAGTTGGATCCAAACCTTATGTTCCTCCTGTAAAATACACACACATAAACACAAAATAGAAGGTGTCAGTCATTGCCTTTGGAGATAAAACCATTTGTAGAAAAATGATAAAAACTGAGAATCTTTTATAAAAAAAAGGTGGCAGTGCATTGTTCCATTTCATTACCAATTTTCAATACTGATGTCTGAGGATGTGATGTTTGTGTGGGAACATTTTTGCGGAGGGCTGACTCACTACAGAGCGCACACAAAAGACAGAGGAGGTACATTCATATGCATATCCTGACCTGTGTCTTTACGTTGGTCTTATTACTGTGTGTGACTGCGCTTTTAAGTTAAGTGCAGTGAAAAACATCTGTATTCTTCACATTAATGGAAGTGTCATGGTGAATGGTTACAAAGAGTTAAGAATATTCTGTACAAAAAGATTGTGCAGTTTGCTAAAGATTTGAAGATGCTAGAGATAAATAGATCTTTTTTTCTAATTCTGTATTCATGTTTCATTTTTCATTAACAATATCTTTAATATTACTTAACACAGTAGCAAGCAAGACTCTCCGGCATATGTTATGACAGCCAGTTTAAATTATTTCCACTCCAGCTTGGTGTCAAATGCTGTCACATGTAACACATTAATTGAAATTAATTTTAAAAATTACTCATTTAAAAATGCTATGAATTTAATGATGTATTATGGCCACATTTTAGAAGTGAGAGGCTTAAGTTCAATGGATAAAGATGATTTCTAATGCCATCTTTAGATATATTTACTAATGTGCCACAATAATGTTTTTGAGTTCAAATTTCTTCACTTGGAGGCTTTTTCAAGCAAATATTGAAATATGTGATTGTGATTAAATCAGCAAATATTTCTGCCACTGCTTGAAGTCTCCATGACACCCTCTAGACACACCATGAATATTTCTCTAGATCAGTTCTGTTGCTATGGAGAAGCCACTCAGAGGCGTGAATCAGAGAGGTAGTCGATTCAAAATGCTTAAACACGACGCCGTAGTTCCTGAATCCATCCAAACTGAAACCAGAATTTAAAAGTGAACCGACTGAAGCAGCAGATTGTATTTTGAGTTTTGTCATCACTGTCATCTTCAGCTTTCACTCGCCATTAATGGCACATGTAACTGAATTTTAAGCTCTGTGATTGTATGTTTGTGGCAAATTCAAGTTTTTATGTACAGTTTTGTATCTTCAATGTCATTTCTAACACAGTTATTAAGCCATTGTACTGGAACAACTGAGTACTGAGACAACATCATTGTCTATGGGGAAAAATTTGGGACTTTTACTGCTCCTCTTACTTCACAGCTCTCTAAAATATAGAGCATTTATTTGTCATTTTATGTTTTGATTCGAAAGGACCATGCCAGTTTTCCAGTTTTCCAGGCAGCCATTGTCTCCATTCCTTTCACTGTGTTGGAAAATCAACTTGCACAGACTTGCAACCTAATGGTCACATGATAATGCATTTTAAAGGACTAAACTGCATCAGAGCACAGCAATCCTGTTGCTTTAACAACACTTAAAGCAGACATGATGGATGACTATCTCTGTGTCAAGCTGACTTTATGGCATAGTGAAATGCATGAGAAGCAATGGTTTTACTGGAAGAGAGAAAAAATGTTTAGTCTACAGGGTTGTTAGTTAATTTATAAAATAATATAATAATATAAAATATATTTATCTGTTATGTTTAGTAACACAAGAAATGATGCATTATGGCTCACGTGAAGCAATGATTATCAAATCTTTCTATGTGTTTACAAATTAGAATTATTAAAATTATTAGATTAAATAAATAGTTTTGGACATTTTAGACGTTTGTCCAAAAGTAACAAAATCCAGATAGAAGAACCTCTAAAGCTATGTTTCCTGTAAAAATAGGCAGCT